CCTTGAGAACCTGCTGGTGAGCTGTCTTCTTGAACCACTGATGCCCATGTTCTGTGGATTGACCCACAATGCCATTAGGGAGGGGATTTCAGGATTTTGCCCCACTGTCAGTGACAAAATCGTGGTATATTTCCAAGTCGGGATGGTGAGTGGCCTGGAGGAGAACGTGAAGGTGGTGGTGTTCCCATATATCTGCTGCCCTTGACCTTCTAGTTGGAAGTGGCCGAAGGTTTGGAATGTGTTGTCTGAGGATCTTTGGTGAATCTCCACAGTGCACCTTGTAAATAGTACACGCTGCTGCTACTGAGCATCGATGGTAGGGGGAGTGGATGTAGTGCCAATCAAGCGGGCTGCTTTGTCCTGGATGGTGTCAAGCTTCTTGAGTATTGATGGAGCTGTGCTCATCCAGGCAAATGGGAAGTATTCCATCATGCTGACTTGTGCCTTGTAGATGGTGGACAGGCTTTGGGGAGTCAGGAGGTGAGTTATTCGCTGCGGTATTCCTAGCCTCTGACCTGCTCTTGTAGCCACTATGTTAATGTGGTGAGTCTGGTTGAGCTTCTGGTCAATGATAACCCTGAGAATGTTGATAGAGGGGAATTCAGTGATGGTCATGTCATTGAATGTCAAAGAGCGGTGGTAAGATTGTCTCTTATTGGTGATGGTCATAGCCTGGCATTTGTGTGGCATGAATGTTACTTGCCACTTGACAGCCGAAGCCTACATATTGTTCAGTTCTTGTTGCATTTGAACACGGACTGTTTCAGTATCTGAGGAGTCGTGAACTGTGCTGAACATTGTGCAATCATCAACAAACATCCCCACTTCTGACCTTATGAGGTTGCGAAGGTCATTGATGAAGCAGCTGAAGATGATTTGGCCTAGGACACTATCTCTGAGGAACTCCTGCAGAGATGTCCTGGAGCCGAGTTGACTGACCTTCAATAACCACGACCGTCTTCCTATGTGTCAAGTGTGACTCCAACCATGGAGAATTTGCCGCTGATATCCAGTTTTGCTAAGGCTCCTTGATGCCACACTTGGTCAAATGCAGCCTTGATACCAAGGGCTGTCACTCTCACCTCCCCTCTGGAATTCGGCTCTTTTTTGTCCACATTTGAACCAAGGCTGTAATGAGGTCAACAGCTGAATGGCCCTGGCAGAACCCAAACTGGGCATCACTGAGCGTGTTGTTGCTGATCAGGTGCTGCTTGAAAGCACTGTTGATGACAACTTCAATCACTTTTCTGATTTGAGAGTAGACTGATGGGGTGGTAATTGGCTGGTTTGTCCTGGTTTTTATGTACAAGACATATCTGGGCATTTTTCCAAGATACAGGTAGATTCCAGTGTTCTAACTGTACTGGAATAGCTTGGCCAGGGGAGTGGCAACTTCTAGAGTACAGGTCTTAAGGACTTTTGCCGGAATTTTATCATGCCTTTGCAATATCCAGTGACTCCAACATTTTCTTGATATCACATGAAGTGAATCAAATTAGCTGAAGATTGATTATCTGTAATTTCTAGCAACCAATGGATGAGGCCGAGATTGATCATCCGTTCGATTCTTCTGGCTGAAGATTACTGCAAATGCTTCAGCCTTATCTTTTGCACTGATGTGCTGGGCTCTTCCATCATTCAGGATGGGGGCATTTGTGGAGCCGCATCCTCCAGTGAGTTGTTTAATTGTCCACCACAATTCATGAGTGGATGTGGCAGGACTGCAGAGCTTAGATCTGATCCATTGGTTGTGGGATCGCTAAGCTCTATCATTTGCTGCTTTCGCTGTTTGGTATGCAAGGTGTCCTGTTTGGTGGTTTCATCAAGGTTGACACCTCATCTTCAGGAATGCTGCTCCTGGCATGCCCTCCTGCACTCTCCATTGAATCAGGGTTGATCCTCTGGCTTGACGGTAATTGTTGATTGGGGTATATGCCAGGCCATGAGGTGACAGATTGTGCTGGAGTGTAATTCTACTGCTGTTGATGGCCCACAGTGCCTCTTGGATGCCCAGTGAGTTGTTAGATCTGTTCGAAGTCCGTCCCATTTAGCACAGTGATTGTGCCACACAACGTGATGGAGGCTGCTCTCACTGTGAAGGCAGGACGTCATCTCCACGAGGACTGTACAGTGGTCGCTCTTACCGATACTGTCATGGAAAGATGCATCCACAGCTGGCAGATTGGTAAGGATAAGGTCAAGCATGTTTTTCCCTCTTGTTTGTTCCCACACCACCTCCTGCAGACCCAGTCTAGCAGCAATGTCCTTTAGGACCTGACCTTTTCGATCTGTAGTACTGCTGTCGAGCCACTTTTGGTGGTGGACATTGAAATCACCCACCCAGAGTACATTTTGTGCCCTTACCATCCTCAGTGCTTTATCTAGGTGTTGTTCCTCCAGGAGGAGTACTGATTCAGCAGCTGAGGGAATATGGTACATGGTAATTTAGCAGGAGATTTCCTCGCCCATGTTTAACCTGAAGCTGCAAGACTTCATGAGGTCCACAGTCAATGTTGAGGACTCCCAGAGCAACTCCCTGTATTTGGCTATGCCACCATCTCTGTTGGATCTGTGCTGCCTGTGGGACAGGACATAACCAGGGACGGTGATTGTGGTGTCTAGGGCATAGTCATACTCAATGAATCATACCTAACAGACAATGTCAAACTGTTGTTTGACTCGTCTGAGAGACAGAGCTTTATTTAGCACTAGTCCCCAAATGTTAGTAAGGAGGTCTTTGCAGGGTCGACAGGGCTGTTTCTGCAGTTGTCTTTCCAGTGTCCAGGTTGATGCCAGGTGATCTATCTGGTTTCATTTCTTTGAGACTTTGTAGCTATTGATAGAACTGAATGGCATACCAGGCTATTTCAGAGGGCAATTGAGAATCATCCACATTGCTGTGGGTCTGGAGTCACATGTAGGCTAGACCAGGTGAGGATGGCAGATTTCCTTCCCTAAAGGACATTAGTGAACCAGATGGGTTTTTCCGACAATCAACAATGGTCATCAGTAGATTCTAAATTCCAGATTTTTTTTCGTTTTGAATTCGAACCCGCATCTCCAGAAGATTAGCTGAGTTTCTGGATTAATAGTGTAGCGATAATATCACTAGGCCATCGCCTCCCCTCCTAAAGTTAGTTCTGAATGTTAGAGCATGGATATATAACATGTAGTGTTTGTTTTGGCCACTCTTCTGGAATAAAATATCTCTGTTTAAAATTGTGGCATTTTGTGCTTTTGTTCTCATAGTAATTAGCTGGGATTTCAAGTTTCAACTTCTTTATAAATAAAAAACGTTACCTGTCTCTGACTGAATCATGATAAAATTGAGATTCATATCTGGTGTAGTAACACAGGTGACTGGGCGTATCTCTGTTGATGTTTGGTTGCTTCTATCATCATAAATGAAATTCACAGGACAAGGTTCCAGGTTACTTGCAATATGGTAAGTCTCTGCTAAAACTGTGCTGTGTCCTAACCTGACATCAAGCCTTGATATCATTGTATTCAATAGCATCAATGAACTTGAAAGGAAAGACTGGAATTTGGCCAGAGCCATCAGGAAGGAACCACCCTCAAGATCCAGCTTAGCTCGCTGTGTGTCAAGGTTGTGCTTCAAATATATAGCCTAAATTGATGGCTCACTGTAGGACTGAGGGAGCACTGCAATGTCAGAAGATCTGGCTTTCAGATGAGATATTAAACCAAAGCCCCAATTGAGGTGTAGAAAAGATCACATGATCACTGTTGGATCCCGTCTTGTGCATTAGGCAATATCTATCTCACAATCAATATGATTATACGGATTTCCTGCTCCATTATCCCATTGCTATTTATGAACTTGGTCCATTTATATAACACTTTGACAGCTTTAAGTTCCCAAACAGCTCACAGCCAAGAAAAGTCTATTTGAAATTTGAAGTCGGTTATATTGTAGGAAATATGGTGGCCAATTTTCAGATGGTAAGCTCCCAAAAATATCAGTGAAATAACTGCATAAGTGGTAATAAAACAAAGAACTACAGATGCTGAGATCTGAAACACAAACAGAAACAGCAGGTCTGGCATCATTTGTGGGAAGAAAACAGAGTTAACATTTCGAGTCTGGTGATTATTCATCAGAACTGTTGGCAGCTAGTAAAGAGTGGCATTTATGCTCAAGATGTTATGGGGGGGTGGGAGGAAAGGGGAGAAATGTGGAATGTGTGGATAGGTGGAGATGGAGCCCACATGGAAAGACATATATGAAAGATGAACAAGGAGATTGTGGATAACTGGCCAGGACAAAAGAAAAACTGAGTAAGTGATAATCTGAGCTGAGAGGAGAGAATGATTGATCGGTACTGAAAACAAATCATAAAAAGTGATAATAGGCCTAGGAATGAGTGAGATTGCATGAAGGTGCCTAAAAACAAGCCATGTCATAACAAGACCAGGTGTGGGATGGGTTAAAAAAAATGAAGGATGGAATCAGGTTGTAAAGTTATTCAGAGATAGTAGGAACTGCAGATGCTGGAGAATCCGAGACAACAAGGTGCAGGGCTGGATGAACACAGCAGGCCAAGCAGCATCATAGGAGCAGAGAGGCTGATGTTTCGGGCCTAGACCCTTCATCAGTAAAGTTATTCAGTTTGAATTGAGACTGCAGGGTTCTCAAGTAGAAAGTGAGATGTTGTACTTCGAGCTTGTGCTAAGGCTCACTGGAGCATTGCAGCAGACCTGCAACAGAATTGTTGGCTTGTGAATACAGTGATGTGATGAAGTGGTAGGCAATTGAAAGTTCAGGGTCATTTTTGTGGACATAATATAAGTGTTTTGCAAAGCGGTCACCCAGCCTGCGTTTCATCTCCCCAGTGTAGTGGAGACCACACTGAAAACAACGAATACAGTAGACTAGATTAAATGAAGTACAGATGCTTCATTGGAAGGTATGTCTGTTGCCTTGAAAAGTGAGGAGGGAAGAGGTGAGGATGAGCGCAGAAGTGCAGGAGATGGGTCGAACAAGACTATGGGACCTGTCGACCATGGCCTCAGATGTCTGTATTATAAAACCACTGGCTTCCACAGTTGCCTCAACTACACATCCATTCTCCATCTCAGTTGCATATGTTCCAATGATGCCACCTTCTGCAAGGGTACCTGCAGAAATGTGCACCTTTTCCCTCAACTGAGGATCCCCACTCCTCCCTCCACTATGCATACTCGAACTTTGTGTTCAGCATAAATATCACTTTTTCCTAGTTGCTAACAGTTCTAATGATAGGTCACTGGACTCAAAATGTTAACTGTGCTTTCTTCCCAAAGTTGCTGCCAGACCTGCCGAGTTTCGCCAGTAATGTCTGTTTTTGTATCAAACTGCATAAGTAAAGTTGATTGAGGGGTAAATATTGGACAGAGCAATGGTGAAAAACTCTACTGAACCTCTTTTAAATAGTACCATGGAATCTTTAATATCCTATCCAAACAAACTGATGGACCTCAATTGATCACATCTGAAAGATTACACCTTTGCCAAAGCAACATTCCCTCAATTCTGTAATGAAGTGTTGGCATTGGCATAGATTTTCTGCTCAAATCTTCATTCAGGGTGAGAGTGTACCGGCTAAACAAGGAGTCCTCCCTCTATTGAGGGAATTGGCTCGGGCGTTTTCTAGGGGAGTGTTCCTCATATGAAGATGCATCCTGCTGTAAAGCAGGAAAGGAAAGGACAGGATTCTTGGCAACTACTATAAATAATATTTGGTAAAAACATGCAGAGAAGGTCTACTGTGATTGCTTTTTTTAAATAAACTCCTTATCTCCACAATATCCAAGACTCTCAGCAGTTTGAGTTGCACCTGTCTTTACAAATCATTGAGCATGCTTTTACCAAGTGAGGAGGGGTGAACTAATTTGTCTCTGTTTCCGGTCTTCTTTCGAGTTTGTAACAGAGTTTTGGGAATTTAAACAGATTGAATTCGAGAATTCTGTGTTCTTGACTGTTCAGATCTGTATAAAGAAATTAGCCAGACAGGCTTTCTTTAACAACTAACGGGTTAGTTTTATTGTACTAACACCTACCCAGGTAAATATTTTTCAACATGTTAAAGTATATCTCACCACCTACTAATGTGCACAATGCACCAGCAAATTGAAGCATGCAAAACACACGAATTACAGAATATATGATAATTTTGTCCAAGTTAAAATGTAATTCAAGAAAAATGGAAGTCATTAAATGTTCAGTGATTGCATCCAAAGTTTTTGGTTCTCGGTTGAGTCAGTTGTTTAAAATCACATTTGGTATGTTCCATTTTCTTTACACTGCTGTAGAAATTTAAATATTTCTTCTGTAGAAGTTCTCTGTCTGCTGTCAAAAATAAAGACAGAAGTCACATGACATCAGGTTATAGTCCAACAGGTTTATTTGAAATCACAAGCTTTCGGAGTGCAGCCCCTTTGTTAGGTGCAATGAGAGAGCACAGCATGCAGACCGAAAATTTCTAGGCAGAGAGAGAGCAAAAGATCATACAACTGGTGTGAGTGGAGTGTCAGATGATAAGTCTCTGCAGGTGACCAAGAGTGTTAGATGGTCAATAAAGTATCAACAGCTGAATGACCAGTGAAGGGATGACCTATAATCTGATTAAGTGAGGCAGAGAGATAATTACAAAAAATTATAAATAAAGTGGTGGTGGCGACAAACTAAATGATTGGAATTACATGCCAAATTCAAAACTGTACAAACTAATTAAGGTAGAGAGATCATAACAATTTATCAAGGTGATGCTGTCAAAACAGGACAGTGAGGAACATTTTACAGATGCAGAGCAGTATCGTGAGGTCACCTGTTGTGCAACATGAACCCATTATCACAGTTGAGGCTGTCTTCACAGCTACAGAGCTTGGCTATCCGGCTCTGCTCGGCAATTCTGCATTGTTGTGTATCTCGAAGTCTGCCTTGAAGGTTTATCCGAAGAACGGAGGCTGAATGTCCTTGACTGCTGAAGTGTTCCCCGACTCGGAGGGAACATCCCTGTCTGGTGATTGTTGCACGGAGTCAATTTCTCCATTGTCATAGCGTCTGCACGGTTTTGCCAATATACCATTCCTTGGGGCATCCTTGCTTGCAGCTTATGAGATAGACAACACTGGCCATCTAACACTCTTAGTCACCTGCAGAGATTTATCATCTGACACTCCGCTCACACCAGTTGTATGATCTTGTGATCTCTCTGCCTATAAACTCTGGGACTGTGTGTTCTACTCTCTCTCTGCGCCTGACGAAGGGGCTGCCCGCCAAAAGTAAACCTGTTGGACTATAACCTGGTGTCGTATGACTTCTGACTTTGTTCACCCCAGTCCAACAACAGCATCTCCACCTCCAAGAATAAAGACACAATTCAGAACATAAGGATATGTGAACATAGGAGCAGGTGTAGGCCAGCTCCACTCTGCTGCCTGTACTTCATGCACCTAGGCTCCCTTCAGAAGCCTATCTAACCCAGCCGTGCACAAATTTAAAGATCCAGCCTCCACTATGTTGTGGGGAAGAGAATTCCACATGTTAACAATCCTTTGAGAGAGAAGATTTCTCCTTCTGCTTACCTTAAAAAGACCTCTTATTCTTAAACTATGTATCCTTGAATTAGTCTTTCCCACAAGATGAACTTCCACCTGATATCCATCCTTTACAATTTCCTCAAGATCGTGTATGCTTTAATAGGATAACCACCTCCTCCTAAGCTCCCATGCCTAGAGGCGTAACCTATTACTTAAGATAAAACCCTCAGTGCAGGAATGAGTTCAGTGAACCTTCTTTGAACTGTTTCTAATATATATGGCTGATATTCTGGCTAAATGCAACAGCTAATTTGCTTGGAAATACCCCACAAACGATAAGATGATGCTCTAATTGTGGCAATGTCAGTTGAAGGATCTGCGTTAGCTACACAGAAGAGATGTTACCATTGTGCCTGTAACAAATGATGATTGAATGTGACACTGGGTGGGATTTTGTATCACCTGGACCTCGTGACTGTATAAACCTAATGCTTTGTTTTTAATTATGCTGTGTCTCTTTTGTAGTCAATAATATGAAGAATGCAGCTCCATGCGTAGCAACGTACTTGCTGTTTGATCCTGAAGATTCAGTGATGAAACAGAATTTGGTGTTTTACCAATACCATAAGCTGAAATGGGACCTGACGGAGGAAGATTTCCTGCCGCGACCAGTATGTTACTGATATACAGATAACCTGCACTAAATTTTAGCAAGTGAGAAGAGAAGGAAGGGTTTAGGGATTAACTGGGAAGAATATAATCTAAGAATATAATCTATTGATTTCATTATCAGGAAGTTATTTGTCCTTCATAAACGCTGGACAAGGAAGCACCTACTAGTTCATCCAGGCAATCATCATTAATTGGCTAATTCTCCATTGTAGCTGTACAGCTCCCTGTCCACGCCAAACTTGAGCAGCCTCATGCACCCGATATCAACACTAATGGATCCAGTGAGCTGTTCAGCTTGTCTCCAACAGCTGTAATGCCTTGAGCTTTGAAATATTTGCATTCCTAACCCCACCTTGAACCCAAGTAATCTCCTGGGAGAGATTAAAAACAGATAAAGACTGTGGCTAAACAAAAGCAAAGTACTGGATAAACTCATCAGAAATGGCAGCACCTATAGAGAGAAAAATTAAGTTAATGTTCAAGTCCAGTGATGCCTTCGCCAGGACAAAGGGACTCTAGACTCAAAGCATTAACTCTGTTTTTCTCTCTACAGATGCTCTCAGACCTGCTGAGTTTATCCAGCACTTTCTTTTGTTCTTTGATTTTTTTTTTCCAGCATCCTCAATTCTTTCTTTTTATTAAAGACTCTGACTAATTGTGGTGAAACATTGTGAAAGTTCTTCTCCAACCCCACTTAGTCATAGGAGACAGAGGTAGCAGTGGAAGGATGCTTTTCGGAATGGAGGGCTGTGACTAATGGTGTCAGGGATCAATGCTGGGACCTCTGCTGTTCGTGATCTACGTAATTGATTTGGAGGAAAGCGTAGTTGATCTAATTAGTAAGTTTGCAGATGACAGAAGGATTGGTAGAGTTGTGGATAGTGAGGAGGATTGTTAGAGGATACAACAGGATCTAGATCAGTTGGGGGCATGGGCAGAAAAAGGGCAGATGGAGTTTGATTTGGACAAATGTGAGGTGCTGCATTTTGGAAGGTCAAGTACCGATGGAAATTATACAGTGAATGGCAGAGCCCTTGGGAGCATTGATGTGCAGAGAGATCTGGGTGTACAGGTCCACAGATCCCTGAAGGTGGCAGTGCAGGCAGATAAAGTAGTAACAAAGGCCTATGGCATGTTTGTCTTCATTGGGATGGACATTGAGTATAAGGATAGGCAAGTTATGCTGCAGCCTTATAGAACTTTAGTTAGGTCACACTTAGAATATTGCGTACAATTCTAGTCACCACACTATCTGAAGGATGTGGATGCTTTGGAGAGGGTACAGAAAAGATTTACCAGGATGTTGCCTGGTATGGGGGATTTTATCTATGCAGGAAAGTTGAATCTACTGGGTTTGTTTTCACTCGAATGCAGGAGGTTGGGGGCGATCTGATAGAAGTTTATAAGATTGTAAATGGCATGGATAGAGTGAAACGTATGAAGCTTTTTCTCAGGGTGGAGGGGTCAATTAGGGGACACAGGTTCAAGGGGGATGTTTAAAAGAGATGTGCGAGGCATGTTTTTCACACAAAGGATGGTGAGTGCCTGGAACGTGCTGCCAGAAGGGGTGGCAGAAGCAGACACAGTAGCAGCTTTCAAGAAGCACCTGGGCAAATTCATGAATAGGAAGGGAATAGAGGGATATGGGTCCTGTGAGTGAAGACATTTGTAATATGAAAGGGTAAAATGTTTTGGCGCAGGCTTGGAGGGCCGAAGGGCATGTTCCTGTGCTGTATTGTTCTTTGTTCTTAAGGGATTAAAACTAGCCTAGAAGATCATATATAGT